GAGGAATTTCAACCCTTCCAGCTGGAACAGAAACCATGTACGTTTGTTACCAGAACCGGGTTTTATGTGTGAAAACCATCAGAACCCCTGAGAGTGAGAAGTGGTTTTTGCGGGTGATTTGCTTTCCCTGCTGGGCAGTTCGAGGCCACCACAGTAGGAGGCATGCGTTTATTTCTGTTCTTTAACAGCAGGATCTTACACTGTTGCCCTGGCTGGCCTGGAGCTCCCTATAGAAGGCTAGGTTGACCTTAAACTTTCTATCCTCCTGCCTCGGCTACCCCAGTGTTAGGGTTACACCTGTGAGCTACCACAGTTTTGTGGTCTTGTTTTCGAACTTTACTGTCCACTTTGTTTTTTCTTTTTGCCTCCTAAACCTGAGAACTTGGATTGTTTCCTTAGTGATCTGAGCAGAGGAGTTTCTCCGGCATTTGAAGAACCGCCCCCCTCCCCAACCTCACTCCCTTCCTTCCATGTCACCCACAGAATTCATTACTCCCTCGCCAATTTAATTCTAGCCAGATCTGGAAAAGTGGGAGGTGTCTGACGTCAGATCAGAACTAAGAAAGAGGCTGAAAATTCATGAAAATGTCAGTGGTTTGGGCCTTGGAAATCAAATTTTCTTAAAGATTCTTATACCCACAGTAAACATTGAGAACCTCAGAGGAGACCCTTGCAAAGGTGGAGTTTCCGAGGGGGTGGGAGGGAGGCCAGGTAGTAGGAGGAGACGGGTCCAGGTGTGCCTTCCAATAGCGACAGCTGGCCTCCATGGGAATCTCTCTCCACCCACCCCTTTTTGCCTTTAAGAAATAAACGCTCCAAGCGAGTTTACAGCTCACGCCTCGGCCCTCGGGGAGCTCTTTCCGGCCTCACTTCTATCTTAAAGCCCAGCTCACCGACGGCTCGCGAGCTAACGCCATGAGTTTCCAGTTGCTAAGGGTGAGGAGTTTGGAGGGCATCTGAGGCTTCAGACACGGGCTAGGCAGAGGGTGACCGCGGGCTGGACGGGGCGTCTGCCGCTGCAGGGTCGCTTGCTCGCTCGCGCGCGCGCCGTCGTGCCGCCACCCTCGCCAACCAGCCCTTGGCCACAGCGGGGCTCCTCTTCGCCTGGCGGCGACTAAGATAAGTGACTTAAGGCCGCGGGGCTCAGCTGGCCTAGAGGTGTGTGGAAGCCTCGGACCCTAGAAGGCCTCTAGGTATATGGGTCTCCCGCCTGTGCTCCGAGCGGTTAGGTCGCTCAGGGGACGGGCCCCGGGAGGTCTTGGGAAGATGACAAGCCAGGGTCTACCTTCTAAGCGTTCGAGGGTCCCCGGGGGCAGGGCAGGGTAGTCTCAGGCTTGACTCCTTCGGGGTTCTGTAGTGTCTAGGAGAGAGGCGGCTTTGCTGCTTGAAGGAAGTTAAAACCAAATTCACCGTAGCTGCTCGGGAAGAGAGCAGATGGGTTTGGTCAATGCTGAGCCAAGGAGTGCGAGCCCCCGACCTGGGGACAGAACGGGGTCCCAGGAAGCCTGGTAGATGTAAGGATCCTTAAATCCGCTTTTGCCTGTTTTGCCTGTTTGTAAAGAGTTGCCTGGTAGGAAGACCCGAAGGCCTTCTGTTTCAGGCCCCTGAGGCCTTGAGCTAGACTCAAGCAGTTCACGGACCCGAATGGGGTTGAGCCCCTGTGTCTGGGTGCACGTCTCAGCGTGGTGTTTATTCTGCTCGGAATTTAAAAATCGATTGGTATTATTTTGGAGCGCCCGTGGATTGGTGCCAGCAGCACCCCTGGGCGTAGCTCTGGAAGCTCTTTGTATTTTAAATTGTATGTATTCATTTGTGTATTTAGTGTGTGTGCACGCGCGTCTTCCACGGTGTGCTGTGTGTGTGCGGGTGGACAGTTTGCGGGAGTCGATTTTCTCCTCCCACCGTGTGGATCCCGGGGATCCAACTTGTGTTTTTAAACGCGTTAGCAAGCGCCTTTACTCACAGAGCCAGCTCGCCGGCCCGTTTGGGAGCTCTTTTAAGTCATAGGTCCAGCGCATGCCCAAGCTAAGACAAGAGAGCAGGGCGTGGATGGACACCTTCCTCCGGAGATTTGCGGCAGAAACCCGATTCTAGGACCTGCCCAATCCCAGCAAGCGGTTGTTGACACAGGTCCTTCACTGTCCCGAGGGGCGGAACCGAGCCCCCGCACATGGCGTCCGGCTTGCAAAAGTGCTTGGGGTCCACCTGCTCTCGGGAGCCCCTTCCCTAAGGCGAAAAGAGGAGTGGTTGTCGCGAGGCAGTCCAGTTTATAGATAACTCCAAGCTGCCATCTCTGGTCTTGGGTGTGGGGGGTGGAGGCTGGGACAGGAGAATGGAGCCCCCAAGCCGTGTTGCCAGAGTCACCCTCGCGTGCTTCTTTGGAGGGGGTTCACATTCGGGTCGCCAGTGGCCTTGCACATACCTGGTCGCCTGGGTCTGGTTTCCTGGGCCATCTGCTGGCTGGGGAGTGGGTCCTGGGCTGCCAGAGTGTGAGTGACTGCAGGCTCCCTAGGGGGCGGCAGAGCGAGCCCCTGACAGCCTTCCACTCCTATGTCTCTGCTTCGACTGAGCAGGGACCTCATAGCAAGTTCTCAGCGGGAGGGGGGTGCAGAGCGGGAATCTTCCGGGTACCGGCTGCCAAGGGGCGCAGCCGCACGCGTCCGCGTCTTTCCGTGGGCAAGGGTAGGAGATGTGTTTAGAGTGCGGGAGCCAAGGGATGAAAAGCTGAGCTCAAGGAAGGCGGAAGCTTCCAGCACCTGGACTGTGTGTCCAGGTCCCAGCCCCTAAGCCCAGTATGGGTGGGGCAGGGTCCCCTAGAGTCGCGTAGGTCACTAGTGCAAGCCGCCCTCTCCATTAAGCGCTGAGCTGTCGCTCTAGAGAGAGCGAATAGCCTTGTCTAGCGGTCCCAAGTTCCAGAGAGGTGAGCGCAGACCTTCGCTTCTTTCTGACTCCTCGCCAGCGCCAAAAGCTCAGGAGCAGAAAAGCCTTGGTCCCTCTGGGCTGCTTGGACTAGCGCAGATGCGGAAAGAACTTCGAGGGCCTGGGATAGGGAGAGCCGCACCCCAGGCCAGGAGAGGAGCCTGTCCCTACCTAACACGGCATTTAGGGCGCCTTGGTTGCCTTCTAGCGAGAGCCTGGGACCTGAACCTCTCAGTCTTGGGCACCACCATGTGGGAGATGCCGATTCCAGTTCTTCCCGGGGCAGGTGCCCTCTCCTCCCGCTAACGTCAGGGCCTCTGTGTTTTGGAAGCTTGGTGTCAGGAGCGAGAGCCTTTTAAAAACTTAGCTGGAAAACCCCCTTGGTTCCCGCGGTTCCCACTTCCTGGGTTTTTGTTCGCGCAACTGGTCGGAAAATCACCTTGGATATGACTACTCTAAGGCGCTGGGGAACGGTTGCCTTGAAAGACATCTATTTTAATTTTAGTTACTGTATTTTAGGCCTATCTGGGTCTAGAGAAATGCTTATAACACCCAGACAAGTAGGAAGATGGTAAACGACTTTATTCTGTGGATAGGGTTGGGTCGTCCACACAGGTCCTGGCCACCGGGCTGATGGGTATCAAGGATTGCACAATAGGCTTCGGAATCAAACCGAAATAGTCCCTGCCTCCAATTCCCTCCGAACGTTTGAAGCCAATCTCCACATACTGTTAGGATCGACCAACAATATTAGCTCTCCAGAATTATCGACCTTGTGTTTGGAATGAAAAAAATCAAGTTATAATAATTGGGCCAATTTATTTCGTTTCTTTGAATTTAAAAACATTAACAGTGAACGTTGCTTTGGGGCTGCGTGGTAAATCATGGGGCTCCGCAGCATTCTGCGGAAGGAAGTTTTGCTTTCTGCCTTCCGTGGGATGAGGTGTGCCCATCTCTCCGAGGGTGCCCTCTCTGCAGCCCCCTCCCACTTCCCGGCCCCTCCTCACCCCGCCCGCTTCATGGCGCTGGAGGGTTATTCTGCCTGGAACCTCATTCCCCGGGCGGGCGAGTTGAGGCTTCTGGATGGCCCTCCCGTGCCAGCCGCGGAAAGCACTCGGCAGGGCTGGGCGAAGCAGGAGGGATGGGCCTGGGCGGGGGAGCTCGGGTCTCCAGAGGCGGCCAGCAGCCAGAGATACACCTTCGGGCGACAGCGGGACACGCCGTGGTTCGATTTATTCTGAGCAGGCTTTACGATGAGTTGCCTCTTCAGAACCGGGCGGGGGGCGGACAGCCGGGGACAGACTGTTCACACCTCCTCCTCTACCCCAGGGGCAGAACAATAAAGTACCCAGGGAGTGGGGAAGGGGGAGACTCGAGGGCATACTGGGGCTTCAGCAGCTTCCCAGCCCAATCCTCGAGTCTCTTTTGGAGCGGCTGGGGTGGGATGTCAGGGAACCCTGGGAGTTGAGACACCTCGGAATGAAAAGTCGCCAACTCTCAAGTGACATCCATCTTTTGGAGGATGGAGGAAGGCTCTAGAGGTGAGGAAATCCCGGTTGTCAGTTCTGACGGTCTCAGGTGTGCAAGCGGGCTGGCATAGGATGCTGCGTCCAGGTACCCAAGCCTGGCAGGTCTGCGATCGTCACTGACCGCCCACTGATGCCCCTGCTAGCCCCTCGCGACGCCGATCCCTGCAAGACGCCAGGCAGGGTGCGGGGCGGAGCTAGGCAGGGACTGGCTGGGGGCTGCCCCGCCCGGCGCCCCGGCTTCCGCGCCGGCCCCCGGGGAGGAGTTATGATAATTTCCTTCTCATTAATGCTTTCGGGTCCCCCGGCTATCGCCGGGACACACTGTGAGGGTGAGGCTTCTCCTGTCCACGGCTGAGGCCTCTACACACCCACGGCGGCCACATCTACACGCACAGCCACCGATGCGCGGCCAGTGACCAGGACAGCGAGGCCCTCGCGTGGCGGGGTGGCGGCAGACGCCTGGCCACCGTGACCCCGATTGTGGATTTACCGCTCGGGGGGTGGGGGGAGCCTGGATTTAACTGGCGACTGTTTTGGGGGACGCCGGACGCCATGTTGTGGAAAATAACAGATAATGTCAAGTATGAAGAGGATTGTGAGGTGAGCGGGGGCTAAGGGAACGTAGCCCCACCGGTTTGAGCAGTCCCCGGGCCGCAGGCCGAGGCTGGGGACGTTCGCGCGGAGCCCTCACCTCTGGGCGGGTCCAGGGCCAGTTCCCTGGACACCCCTTGGCCATCTCCTGAGTCCCTTGTTGTTGAACCGGGTCTTGTCCCTCGGGAACAAGGCCTGGCAAGAGCGTGGCAGACCTACCCGCAGAGCTCAGCAGTGGGTTCCTACGAAGCGCACGGCCCCCCTTTCCGTTTTCCCCGAAGAGCGCCCTGTCTCCGACTCTCAGACGTGGCTTTTTCCCACGAAGTCTGTCCAAAGTGTCCACGGAGGCCTCCTTGCCGGCGACACCTTTGCGGAGTCTTCTCCAAGGCAGGCTTGTCACCTGCCCCGCTACCTTCTCGGGAAAGGAAAAAAAAAAATCTAAACAACTGTAGCTTGGTTTTCAAGAGAAGTGGGGGCTGGGGACTATGGAGTGGGGGTGAGGCCAGACGGGGCCTTGAGCGCTCGCGAGTACTCCAGCCTGTCGGACAGGTTGAGCTAGAGTTTCGGAGAGTAGGAGGGAGGGGAGGCGACGAGCGGGAAGAGGAAGAAGACTCAGGCGGCGCGAGGCGAGCGCGGAGGAGAGAGGAGCCAAGGCGGCCAGGCTGCGGGAGCGCACAGCGCTCTCACGACCTCGAGGGGCTGCCCCTGCTTGCAGGCACGGGCGCTTCCGCTAGGGGGCGACAGTGTCCCGCTCCTGTGTCCCGGCTACCCTTGTGACCCCCCGGGACTGATGAAGACACATCTTTTAGGAATTAAGTCTGACCGCCTTGGGGCGAGGGGACGTGCGCAGGCAAAGGTTGCCCAATTTGGCAGAGCCTTTTCATTCCTTCTGCACCGGGATGTGTGAGAACCTTGACCGTAGCCGGGCTGGAAGACTTCACTTCCTAAGGCGCTGGCTAGCAAGGATCCCAGGCCTGGCCCCGCGTGTGTCTCTCCGGACGACCTTACCTATCTGACCTTACCTGGGAGTGTCACTTCCGCGGCGGTCTCGCCTTTAAGGGCGTGAGGGGGGATGGTCCGGAGGGCGTGGGAGGCGCGCTCTTCCCTGCACTGCGCATTATCCGCGCCGGCCGCCAATTTTGGCGCGTGGCTGCAACATGGGCAGGCTGGTGAGCGAGCACACTTTAAGCCGAGTTCGCCGCGCTCCGACCTCCTGGGGCGCGGGCTCCCGCCACGGCCGCGGCCTCTCCGGGAGGGTGGCCTGGAGCTCGCACTCCGCACCTCCGAGCGCCGCCCGCAGCCCCGCTCCTTCCTCAATGTGCCCGGAGGATTCGTCCCCACAGGTCTTAGACTGGTGGCTTACAACGAAGTCCCTGGGGCGCTTTGTCCCTGGGTGCCCTACGGCTCGGGGCGGGGCGAGACGGGTGGGGCTCGCCTGGTGGGGCGCTTCCGTGCCCCTCCCCTGGCTCGCCTGTTCGCTGTAGCAGGGTTTCGTCTTAACCGGGCTTCTGCTGTTTCTCTCCCAGGATCGCCACGACGCGAGCAGCAATGGGAACCCGCGCATCCCCCACCTCTCCTCGGCCGGACAACACCTCTACAGCCCCGCGCCACCTCTCTCGCACACCGGGGTCGCGGAGTACCAGCCGCCCCCCTACTTCCCGCCGCCCTACCAGCCTCTGGCATACTCTCAATCCACCGACCCCTACTCGCATCTGGGAGAGGCTTACGCTGCAACCATCAACCCCCTGCACCAGCCTGCGCCCACAGGCAGCCAGCAGCAGGCTTGGCCGGGTCGACAGAGCCAGGAGGGCGCTAGCCTGGCCCCGCACCACGGCCGTCCTGCTGGCCTGCTACCCCACATTTCAGGGCTAGAAGGGGGCGCGGTGAGTGCCAGGCGGGAAGCCTACCGCCGATCGGACCTGCTGCTGCCTCATGCGCACGCCCTGGAAGCCGCCGGCCTGGCAGAGAACTTGGGGCTGCATGACATGGCCCACCCCATTGAGGAGGTGCAGGTGAGCAGGAGGGAGGGGAGGGGGGCCTAGGGGAAGGCTACCTTATCGCTTCTCTTACCCTCCAGCCACTGCGCTTTTCCCCAAACTTAAAAGAAATTGTGATTTTTTTTCCCCCCAGAATGTGGACGATCCGCACCTGCTTCTGCACGATCAGACTGTGATTCGCAAAGGTAAACACTGACTGTTGGTGCGACCCCAGTCTGTGAAGTTGCCCCTCTTCCGACTAAGCGGGGGAGGGGGGGCATTAAGTGGCCAGCGTGGGTCATCTAGTGGAGGAGGAACCTGGCCTTAACTCCAGACTACTTTTGTACGAGTAGAAAGACGCAGTATTTTCTGACCTAAAAGAAAAGAGCTCTGAGGAGCTGTAAATCTTAAAAAGGGTTTTGGTGGTGGTATTTTTTGAAACGGAGCTTCATTCTGTACTTCCCTAGCTCAGGCATTACAGGTCAGAGACTGTATTCCAACGTGAAAAAACGAGACCAGAAAGACACAGAAACAGAACCTGAGTTTTCTGATTCTATGACAGTTTTTAACTGTTGAACAAATTGACACAATTTTACTTTTTAGAAGTAAAGTTTTATTAACCTTAGCTGGGGTGGAGAAGGCAATCGGTGTGGAGGTCAAAATCCAACCCACGTGGTGGCCCACTCCTTTAATTCCAGCATTCAGAGGCAGGCAGATCTCTGAGTTTCAGGCCAGCCTGGTTTTACAGAGTGAGTTCCAGGACAGTCAGGTCCACCAAAAGAACTGAACTGCTGGTTGTCAGGCTTGGGAGCAAGCACTTTTACTGCAGAGCCTTGTCGAGTGTAGCTATTGGAGAGGCCTTTAATTCTGACACTATTTAATCGGTTTCTCCTGATATACTGCCGTAATAAGGACAGCCTTTAGGGATTTTATAGGAGGGAGGGGATTGGGGAAATTGGATTACAGTGAGTGGGTACCTCTTCATTAAGTTGGGCACGTTACCAGTCTGTTTAAGGGGGGATGGAATCATTCTGAATTACAGGTAGCCGTGGACTTGAAATTGTGAACTACATCAGTAAATTGCGAGAGGATGGGGTTGGGAGAAAAACCGGGGTGGGGTGTGTGTGAACATATCTGAATAACCTTAAACAGAACCAGTTAATCTGTTTCTGAATTCCCTGGTGTCAGCTGCACTGAAGGATTTGGCAGCTGATCTAAATGAGTCCTGTGGTTTCAGTTCACTGATGGGGGAGGGGAAGGTGCCATTTATTTCCTATTGAAGCAGTCTTCTGAAAGCAAATGTTTTAATTAAACAGATTACTGTGGTGGCCAGGAACTGGGAGGAGGGGGAAAAAAAAAAACACCACCAACTCCACGCATGGAATCTCGACTAATTAAGGTTCCAGAGGTGTTAACTCACAAGTTCAGACTCCAGTCTTTGAAGACTGAATATGGCTTTTAAAAAGCTTCCCGGAATATGTCGTTCTGTGTGTGGACTTTTCTGCAGGCCGACTTCAGCTTTGGGTTGCTGTTTTGACGAGGCCTTTGCCCCCTCCTCTTCTAGTGACAGTGACAGGCACCCGTTCTGCTGTCCTCCCCACAGGACCCATTTCAATGACCAAGAACACTTTGGGCCTCCCCTGCCAGAAGGACATGGTGGGATCCGTCATGAACCCCAGTGAGGTCTTCTGCTCTGTTCCTGGAAGACTGTCCCTGCTCAGCTCCACATCTAAATACAAAGTGACAGTGGCTGAGGTACAGAGGCGACTGTCACCACCCGAATGCCTAAATGCCTCGCTCCTGGGAGGTGTGCTCAGAAGGTGATACATGCTCAGGACCCCTGGGGTTTGGGTAGTTTGGGCCTGGAGGTATTTTTAGCATTTATGTAACTTTCATATCTTAACACTGAATGCTAATCTTCGTAAAGAGAGCTTTTTAGTGCATTTCTTCTTTTCGAAAGTTCCAAATGCAGAAGGTGCCAAAACATCACTAACAGGTTATCATTTGGTTGAGATTACGAGGCGGCAGCAGCTTGGGGGGGGGGCTGTGCTGCTAGTGCTTTGTCCCCCCAGGGAGTTTCTTTGGGGACTGCTAATTGTGAAGGCTTTTCTGCACCCCTACTAGTGGCAATATTTGAGTTTTTTTTCTTTTTAGGGGGCAAGTGTGGTTTGTTTTTATATTCTTTGAGAGTAGCCAACATTCTTTTTTCCCACAGAGCAAAATCCAAAAACGGAGGCCGGTCCTTGCGGGAGAAGCTGGACAAGATTGGGTTGAACCTTCCGGCCGGGAGGCGGAAAGCTGCCCACGTCACCCTGCTCACGTCTCTCGTGGAAGGTCAGTGCGGCCGCCGCCGTTCATTGCTCACGGCTTTACGACTCTCCTGGTGAAACAGTTACCACAGAAACGGAATCAGTTTAGACTGTGTCATCACAGTGAACCCTAACACTTTACACCCTATGACATACATGATCTTTACAAAGCCTCTGACTGCTTTTATGTGTTGTTTGGGGGACGTCACTCAGAAAGGTGATGTTACCAGAATTTTGATTTCTCTGAACCTATGAAATCATGATAGAGTGGGGCAAGATTCTTTGTAAAGTGAACTAGCTTTGGGGGGTTGGAACAGTCTGTCAATGGTGCGCCCTTAAAAAGGCAGAATTTCTGTTTTCTAGTGTGTTTTTCTAGCTGTGGGGAGTCAGGATCATGCTCGGTGTATGCAATGGGCGCTGTGTCAATCTACCATTTCTTCCCTTCCATCCAAAGGGGATTTTTGGAGTGAAAGTCGTGGTCCACAAATGAGCCCCTTTAGCCATTCCTGAGGTCATAGCTGTGTAGGGTCCAGTTTTGAATGGAGACCCTTCCTCCAGCCTGGAAGGTGGCCAAGAATGCCATGCAGGCTGAAAAGGAAAGAAAGAAAGAAAGAAAGAAAGAAAGAAAGAAAGAAAGAAAGAAAGAAAGAGAAGGAGCACACTTACTGGAGCCAGAAATGGGGACTTGGGCCCCTGTGCTGTCAGCCTGCCCTGAGGATGGCCACAAGAAATGGCTGTCCATGGCAGAGCTGTCTGAATGCTTCGTTTCCCTTGCTGCATGGTGTGACTGCGGTGCTGAAGGGGACTTGGCAGAGTCTGTGCCCCCTCCGAATGCCCTTTCACTGTGCCTTTGGAGGTCAGGGCAACCAAAAGGCCTTACTGAGAAAAGCTGTTTTGCTTGGAGAATGGGGTGGAGAGTTCCTTACTAGCCACACCGAGGAGAGATGTTCTAGCAGTGACGCCTGGAGTCTGGCTCAGCCCCAGGCCTGCCTCTCCACTGGCCGCAAGGGATTTAGGAGTTCTCCCGACATGAACCCTGAAGCCAGGTCCCCTTTCGTTGTTTTGGTTTGGGGAGACAGGGTTTCTCTGTAGTCCTGGCTGTCCTGGAACTTACTCTGTAGACTGGGGCTGGACTTGAACTCCCAGATCCACCTGCCTCTGCCTATGGAATGCTGTGGTTAAAGGCGGGTGCCACGCCTTCGAAGAACCGGTGACTTTCTCCCCCTTACTCTGCTCCCACGCCCACACCCAGTCTCATTTCAGCCTAGACTCCCTTAGGAACCTTAGGCTCCCAGGTGCCTAGGGTGCAAGCTTGTCACATTGCCAAAATGGTGCCCCCCCCCCCCCGCCTGTTTTTGGTCTTTTAAGACTAGGTCTCCCATGTCCTAGGCTGGCTGGAATCTGAGTGAACTTGAATTCCTGAGTCTCCTGCCTTTGCCTTCCTAGAGTTGTTGGTTTTTTTTTTTTTTTTTTTTTTTTTTTTTTTTTGGTTTTTTGTTTTTTTAAAGGAGTGGTGGCCTACACCTTTAATCTTAGCACTGGGAATGATATCTCTTGAGTTCAAAGCCAGTATGGTCTACATTACAGGCTAATCAGGGATACAGAGTGAGACCCAGTCTTGAGAGAAAGATTGTAGATTACCACAGTGTGAGGCAGGTGGACTTTAGAGTAGATCCTACCGCCCCACCCCCCAAAAGAGGAGAACCAACTCCTAAAAGTCGTTCTCTGACCTCCACACCCATGCAGTAGCAGGCACTCTCTCATTCTCATACATGGATACATGGACCATTAACAAGAAGAGGCAGCCGGGCGTGAATAGCACACACCTTTAATCCCAGCAGAAGCAGGTGGATCTCTGTGAGTTCAAGGCCAACCTGGTCTACAGAGTGAGTTCCAGGACAGTCATCAAAGCTCCAAAACAAAAAGAGGGGAGGAAAAGCAAAAAAAAAAAAAAGGGGGGAGAAAAAAAAAAAAAAAAAAAAAAAAAAAAAAAAACAAAGAGACTGGGCAGAGGTGTGGCACACTTTTAATACCCACACTTGGGAGACCCAGGCAGGTGGATCTCTCAGTCTCAGACCAGTGTGGTCTGGACAGCCAGGGTGGTTACACAGAATCCCTTTTCTGGACTGCTCCCCCACCAAAAATAAATAAAATAAAATAAACAATAAAAAAATAAAAGATAAAGAACGCCAGAAAAGGGAGCATCTAATGACAGTTCAAAGTGCCCCAAACCTGGTTTCACTTTAGAAGACAAAGTAACTGAACTGTACTGACCACAGCCATGCTCAACCCTAAACCTCTTGGGAACTGCTGATTACAGGCGAGGCCGTCCACCTGGCACGGGACTTTGCCTATGTGTGTGAGGCTGAGTTTCCCAGTAAAGCAGTGGCTGACTATTTAACCAGACCGCATCTTGGGGGACGAAATGAGATGGCCACGAGGAAGAACATGCTGCTGGCAGCACAGTGAGTATTTGGGTTGTGAGACCCCGAGGCTCAACCACAATTCTGCAGCTAAAGGGAATGGCAGCCTGGAGTAGAGCGTGGAAGCGGGAACCACGCTGAATTCTCCATCCCGGGTGTCAAAAGTGGAGGCTGCTGACTCAGCTCGCAGCAGTCTCGACACCCACCTTATTACATTTGCATATATTCAAGAATTTGTGTAGCTGAGTAGAGTTTGCCTGGTGTGCAAGAAGCTAGGCCATCCACAGCGCCACATAAAAAGGGAGCTAGCTGGTGTGTGGGGAGTGGAAGCGAAAGGAGCCAAAGGTGCAAGGTCATCCTTAGTTATGAAGTGAGTTCCAAGCTAGCCTGGGTTACTTGAGACTGGTCCTCTTGACCTTGGCCAGGGGGCTGGACTTAATCCACTTGTCTTCTCCCGGCAGCAGAGATGAAGTGAGATAGTGTTTGGGGAATTCGGGCTAAGTGTGGCAGAGAGATGTTAGTACGGGGCCGGGCATCTCACTCAGAGGGCTTGCCTGGCATGCATGCAGGCCGAGTTTGGTGCCCAACACTTCATAAACCAGGAGCAGAGGTAAATTCTGTGATCTCCGGTGCTGGAGAGGTAGACACAGGAAGACTATAAATCCAAGGTTTATAGTCTTGGCTCCTTAGTGGGTTCAAGACCAACATCCACCTTTTCAAGTTTATTCTGATAGGATCAGGAAGGATGTATTTTCTCAGGAGCCAGGTAAAGTTCACCAACCGACTGTCTTCACAGGCAAGTGTGCAAAGAATTCACAGACCTTCTCCATCAAGACCGAACACCCAACGGGAACAACAGGCCCGCTCCAGTCTTGGAGACGAACATACAGAACTGTCTGTCTCATTTCAGCCTGATAACTCATGGCTTTGGCAGCCAGGCCATCTGTGCAGCTGTATCTGCGGTGCAGAATTATATCAAGGAGGCTTTGATAACCATTGACAAGTCCTATATGAACCCAGGAGACCAGAGTCCTGCTGATTCCAACAAGACCATGGAGAAGATGGAAAAGCACCGGAAATAAAGAGCAATGCTTGGAGACCAGAGCCGGAAGGGAGAAGACCGAAGCCCCTTCACTGGGGCACCCTGGACCTGCCTAGTTGGAGTCTTTCTGATTGTTCTATTTGACCCTGGACAAACTATCCTGAAGCAATTTGGTCTGGTTCTTTTACTCATTAAAACATTTATTTTTTTTGGAAATCTATTCCTTCTTTGAAAGGTGCTATGAGTTTTAGAATCCCTTCGTGAAATCGCCCTGGGCTAACGAGAAACCCCACGCTAAGCTGAGCTGCTGACAAGGCAGATGGATGGGAGATAAAGGGATCAATCATAACTTATGTTTTTTTTTTTCTCAGTGTTAAGATAATGTCTGGCTTTTATGTCCTCTAAAATAATTTATCTAAAAAAATTAGTATTTATCTAGCTTTCCCGACCCCTCAGTGATCACACCTTCTGGTAGGAGGCAAAGGTCGATGTTCTTAGCAGCTTTTTACAGTGGTGTGTGACAGGCTTCCAGCCCCATGTTCAAAGGGGTGGGGGGTCTCCTGGTTCTAAGGAACTTGAGAGAGGGAAGCCTTCCGATTGTTTCATGTTTCCTTCCTCTTAAGAAAAAAAATGTTGAAAGTTTAACATTCTTTAGATAGTATTTTTTTTAATGACCTGTTCCTTTAAGGTATAGAAGCTTTATTTGCCTATTTATTTCATATCTTGTTTTTTTTTTCCCCATAAACTTGAAAAGGGTAGGCACACTGCAGTGCCTATCATCCCCAAGTCCCCCAGGAGGTTCTGTGTTGAGAAACTGTTGACTGTACAGATTTTATTTATGCATAATTTAATGGGATCTGTAAATACTTAGGACTTTTTGAGAAATGGGATTCGATTTTAATATTAACTTTTATTGGTGATGGGTAACATAGCGCCTCTAGATTTTATGCATATGCGCACAGGGTATTGAGGTTGAAGCAAGACTGCTCAGGCATGATTTAATTGGAGCTGTTGGGAAAGCAATATCCAATATCCAACCTGTTCTTAGGGCTGAACCAGAAGAGTAGGGTAAGCTTGTGTGGGTGAAGTGTGGATCGGGATTGAACTTCTATGCCTGTAAGTGCTCACTAAATAATTGTGTGTATGATACCTGTATAATAAAAATATTCTCGATAGAATCTGTGAAAGTCTGGTTCTGACCCGTTTTTTCCCCCCCGGGCTCCTAGGATGAGTAGGCTCCATCAGGGCTGACTTGAGACTGGAATGTGGCTTAGTTAATTATATAGATGGAGTATAAGGAAGCCTTGGGTGCTGTGGAAGAATCTTGGAGTTTTCTTTCCCTAATGAGACTGCTCAGCTACCCAGTGTCTTTCATGATCTCACCCTGTCCCTCAGTACCTGAGTGTCAGCACTGGGGAGTACAGGCAGGGTGGGACAGTTTGCCATTCAGAGGGGGTTAAATTTTTGGTTTTTTGTTTTTGGTGATGGGCCTCCAGTATGCTCAGCGTATGCTCTGTTGCCTTGTGGTACCCCAAGCCTGGGGCCACCGTTTTGAGAAGCTTTAGTAATCACCGAATAGGACTTTCACAGTTGCTGGTTGAATGGGCATGAAGTCTTCACTGGTGTCCCATGGGCAGGTCTTAAGGGGAGGAGATGACATCAATGAAGCCCCACCAGTGGTGACCTTGGGGCATCTGTGTTCAGTGAACAGGTAATTCTCCATCGCTGGAGACAGTCAGTGAAGGCTCTCCACTCAGGGTTTCCTCATTTTGTCTGACTGTGGGGTGAGTTAGAGGCAGTGCAGGGGCCCGGGGGCCGTGTGTTTGCTGGGCGTTTGGAACTTGGATGCGCAATGCCTGTGCTTGGTTTCTGGTTCAAGTGGCCTGGCATAGCCTCCAGGAAGTGAGAGGTTAATAGTTTGGCATGCATGGCTGAGCTTCAAAGGGAAGTGGGGGCAGGAGGATTTTCCACTTTGGATAAAGTCATGGCTTCAGCTCTTGTTCTTGTAATCCTTAATTCCCGACTCCCTCCCCGGGACACAGCCACTCCTGACTTCACATTGGCATGGGATGTTCTGAAGTCATTTAAGCACCGCCAACCCCATATTTGCTCTTGGCAGCTTGTCGTTGGTCCTGGTACATCCCCATTAAGTTGGATTTATCTGCTTGATACTTTAAGATCGAAGTTGGCTTTGCTTCCAAGCAGAGAGAAGAGGTCTTAGGTTGGCAGTTATTTCTCAATCAGGACTGAGGACACTGGGTGTCAAAAGGAAGTCACGGGGGCAAAGGCTGAAAGAATAAGGGCCATTTGCTTACCGGCAAACCTGGTTCGGGACCAGTGGGTGGATTTCAGAGACTGTTCATGCAGGCAGCCTGCTGGTAGCTCCCTAAAGTCAAACAACCAGAGAGCCACAGACAGGCTCTCATGCCTGGCCAGGTGCTTACTGGATACCCTTGGAAATGCAGGGGACAAGTTTTCCATATCTGGTGTCCAAAGCCTCTTGGCTGGTACCCTGTGAAGCAGGACAGTACATTCTCAAGGAGCTCTAGCCCACTAGAAAGATAAGGCGCTGTGCCTTTTGCTTCGGGTTGTCAAGGCCACTTGCTCTCCTGAGCAGACAGGTTTTTCTTTTAAGCTTCATGTGAGCATCCTCTGCCTTCTGCCCTGCTCTCTGGCCGGATGCTGGCTGTTCCACCCACTGGTGTATGTCTGGTGTATGTGTCTGCATGTGTGCATGTGTGTGCATGCTTATGGAGGTTACGTCAGGTGTCTTCCTGTACGGCTCTCCACTTTAACTTTTGAGATGGCATCACTCACGGAACCCACAGCCCACTGATTCAGCTAGGCTGCTGGCCAGAGAGCTCCAGGGAGCCTCCCTGTCTACCTCACCAGCACTGGCATTCTAGGTGTGTGCCAATGAGCCTGGCTTCTTTTGTTTTGTTTTGTTCTTTCGAGACAGGGTTTCTCTGTGGCTTTGGAGGTTGTCCTGGAACTAGCTCTTGTAGATCAGGCTGGTCTTGAACTCAGATATCTGCCTGCTGCTGCCTCTTGAGTGCTGGGATCAAAGGCTTTTGCTACCACCACCAGGCAAGCCTGGCTTCTTAAAAGAAATGTATTTAGCCGGGTGTTGCTGGTGCATGCCTTTAATAGGCTCCAAAGTTACACATAGAAACCCTATCTCGGAAAACAAAACAAAACAAAAAACAAAAAAACAAGAATGAAAGAAAGAAAGAAATGTATTTATATATTTTTTTTTCTTTCTGAGTGGTTGCAAGTATGTGTACTATATGTATGTATGTACCTGTATGTAACTGGAGTCACAGGTGGTTGTGAGCCACGGCAGATGGGGGGAGAGAACCGAGCCCAGGTCCCCTGTAAGAGCAGTAAGTGCTCTTAACAACTGAAGCATCTCCGCAGTGCTCCATGCCTGGCTTATTTTAAGGATATTGGGATACAAAGTGGTCCTCATGCTGAACAGCAAACACTGACTAAGCCATCTTCCTTGCAGCTGTTTAGATTTTTGAAACAAGGTTTTGCTCTGTAGCTATGACTAGCCTGAAACACACTGTAGCTCAGGCTAACCTTATACTTACTCCTTGATCCTGCAGTCTCTATCTCTGGGGGGTGGGGCTAGGATTATAGGCATGCACCACCATGCCCAGCTATGAACTTCCCTTTTTTTAAGGCACATGTTGTCGCTGCCCTCTGGGAAAAGTATTCTCAACAGGCTCCTTTGTCCCGGCTTGCTGAAGGAAACCCAGTGTGTCTGAAGGCTCATGCTGCCCAGAATTCCGTGCCCATAAGGGAAGTCTTGCTTGGCAGGACGGTACATCTCCTGGCTGGCATCTGGGGAACTGGCACCTACAAGGTTGCCCCCCTACCCTGCACACAGCACACCTGTAGGTTCTCTGGGAGGCTGGGGAGAGTGTTTTCCATAGCTGTTCACGCTTGTCTTATCTTCCATGTGTGTGTGATTTGAGCTGTGGGTTAGGCAAGAGACAAGGCGGCTGTTTCTCATTTGAGATGATTCCATAACAATGGCGGGCATTCTTTTCTTTTGGGGGGGTCTGATGTGAGGCTGAGCTCTGAGACCTCAACTTCCTGGATTTGAACGTTAAAAACCAAAGCGAAACAAGGTAGGGTCACGGGCGGGTGAGGAACAAAGAGACTTCTCTGAGCGCGCCGGGCACGGGCCGAGGATCTGGAGCCACTGTCTGCTTCCTCAGGAAAATGCTGCCTAGTGTGTGTCCCTGAAGGGGCTGTGGTACCTTCTGATGACCTCAGAGTTTCTCCAGCCTTCCCTTTCTGCAGGTGGGGAAAACAGTGTTCCAAAGCGGTAGTTAAATCTGCCTGCCTCGATGTGTATGGGAAGACCTCTGACGTGGCTGTCTCCATCTGTCTTATAGGGGATGAGAGTGTGGTTCCTTGAACATATTTGGCAGATGACAGCCTTGTATCGGGGCAGATTAATGGGGCTCTCTGTGGGCCCTGTATTGGCAGTGGCCCTTTGCTGAGCCCCAGCTGAGCCCAATGTGCTGTGAAATGTTCCCCAGGGTTGGAGATGGAGAAAAGTCTTTCTGTTTTCCACATGGCAGAGCTTCAACTCACAAATGTGCCTTCTGGACTAGATGTTTCTCTTGAATGACATACTAACTTTCCAAGTTGATGTGCCTTGGACTTTTCATGTCTGCAGCCCTCATTGCCTCCTGAGGTCTATGGGTCTCCCCCAGGGAGGATGGAGGCTCTGGGTGCCATCAAAACCTGACTCTTGCCGGGCGGTGGTGGCGCAAGCCTTTAATCCCAGCACTTGGGAGGCAGAGGCAGGCAGATCTCTGTGAGTTCGAGACCAGCCTGGTCTACAGAGCAAGTGCCAGGACAGCCTCCAAAGCCACAGGGAAACCCTGTCTCAAAAAACAAACAAACAAACAAACAAAAACAAAAATCTGACTCTTTCCTGGCTCTGCACACCCAGGTTGGCGTCTTGCCTAATGTCCATTCGGAAGCAAATCACACCTAGAATGTGCCTGCTGCTAACAGGGG